CTGCAGTGGAGATGCAGCCTCAGTCTGTTATGTCCAGGCGAGTTTTTACCTCCACATGATAAGCTGATTTAAAACAATCCAACTTTTAAGCCCCATGTGTGAAATACCCTCAATAGTGTATTTTCCACACACAACAACATAAAGAAAAACAAACTGGCTTCAATGTTATACAAGTGAATCATGTGCAGGATTGCAGCACATGACAACTGCATACAGAGGTTTTTAGTATGAATGAAATCCTTGGATGTAATCAAAGAGTGGCAGAGAGTTCAGGTAAGGCTATCAAATCAATGATAAATAATAACATGTCTCACACAACTGTGTAGTGTTTCACAGGTTTGTTGCTACCACTTTATATTTATATTTTTATAGTGTATACTTAAGGCGACTCAGCATCTAGTTCTCCTGGCAGAAAGGTGACCAAGAAATGTGAAGGATTAGTATTGATGTAAAAATAGACATAAGGGGTCTGGAAAATATTCCCTCCTAGGTTATAAATACAACTATGCGAGTCAAATTTGGTAGCCTTAATTACTTTAGCAGAGTCTCCTTAACTGTACTATGTTTAACTCTATAGAGACTTAGAATAGTAAAGTGGCATACATACTTTTCAAATTCTGACAGATGGAAATAGGTACAGTCGTTTTATGCTAAGGAAGCAAATGGTTCATAGTGTATTATTGTGCAAGCAAAATAAAGCTAATGAAAATTTAATTTGATTTAAACTTAATATATCATTTTAGACTAGAAGTGCATTCTCTTAAAACAACCACAGTGGCTGATAGCATTTATTCCAACCTCTCTGTTCAATACTGTTTGTTGCTGAAAATTCCAATGTGTTATACCATCTGCATGCTTGTCCCTAAAAGACCAAAAATATAGCATGTTCTTAGAAGGCAAGCACAAACACACAACACAAACATTATAAGAAGAATAGTAATAGACTCTAATACTGGCAAGAGTGTGGGAGTAAGAGTTAAAATCATAGAGTTATAGAATCATAGAGTTGGAAGACACCACAAGAGCCATCCATTACAATCCCCTGCCATGCAGGAACCCACAATCAAAGCATCCAATCTCTGTTTAAAGTCCTCCAAAGAAGGAGACTCCACCACTCTCCAAGGAAGTATGTTCCACTGTCGAACAACTCTTACTATCAGGAAGTTCCTCCTAATGTTTAGGTAGAATCTCTTTTCTTGTAGCTTGCATCCATTGTTCCATGTCCTATTCTCTGGAGCAGCAGAAAACAAGCAGGTCAGTGTACAATGGTTCAAGTGTCATGTAATGGTTGGACTATTGGTCTTATACTTAGGAGACCTTGGAACTACTCCCCACTGAACTATGAATGTTGATCATGGACCACTCACTTTTTCCAGACTATCACAATACAGAGAGAACAAGGAGAGGAAAGCTGTATATACCATCTTCAGCTTATAGGGAAAAAGCTTGGATAGCAATGTAACTAATCAATGATAAATTCTCATAAGGAAAACAGTTTCTCACTTTAGAACAGGGGTAGGCAACCTAAGGGATGCGGCCCCCCGAGGCCTTTGGACTGGCCCCAGGCCAGTCCTGTTGCCGCTGCCCCCCGCTGCCGCCGCCTCCCACCCTGATGATATTGATTATTGTTGTTATTACTTGTTCTTGGGTTTTTCTTGGCAAAATCTCTACAGGGGTTTTGCCATGGCTTTTCTGGGGCTAAGAGAGAGTGCATGCATATTTTTTTAAAAAAAAAATTTAATTAAATTTTTATTTATTTATTTATTTATTTATTTATTTATTTATTTTTGCTGCTTCATCCCCCCAATTGTTTGAGGGACAGCAACCCGGCCCCTGCCTCATAAAGGTTGCCTACCCCTGCTTTAGAAGCTAATGTTGCAATCCTGTTTTTAACAGGTTAAAGGTATGATGCATAGGACATTCCCCAACCCCCGGCCCCGGCCCCGGCCCCGGCCCTGGCCCCGGCCCCGGCCCCGGCCCCGGCCCCATTATAGAAGGCATTAACTTAAAATAAAAGTAAAGGTGGGGCACAAGCAATGATATGTGGAATCAGAGATTTCTCTGCCTCTCACTTACACACATGAAATGGAAGAGGAAACAATCCTCAGAGGCAGGCCAAGAAAGCAAGAATTTCCCTGCAACGTGCCAAGAAGAGCAAGATGATGCTGAGGAAATAGACAGGTTCCATGCCCTAGACATAAAGAAAGCTGTCTCCAATCTGCTTATAGATATCTTATGCATAAATGTTTGCAGTTGTAGGAGGCACAACCCCAGGAAATGAATTACTTTAGCTGCAATTGTACACACCATCCTGCCCACTGTTTGTAACTCAACTTAATTTATAGGTCTAACCACCTGCTAAAGTCATGGATGTCAGCCATAATGAGAAAACAGGTACAGTTGTAAAGGAAATACAGCAAGATTTGGTGGGACCCATAAGTGAACCCAGGTTGACCTGATTTATTGTTCTCATGTGGTTTCCAGGTTAACTTGTTCCCAAAGTTCAGATGTATGGTTTTTACTGAAAACAAATCTGCAATAAGCATTCCATGGCATTCCTCTTCCTCATGCCTGTATATCTGTCACACCATTCAGATTTTTTAAAACAGGCCAACTGTGCAAGCATTTCATTAATATGTAAAACAAAATTATAGGCACATGGCATACATACAATCAAAGTGTGCATCTGGGAGGGTGGCAGCCAACGTTTCAGTAGCAATGTGCCTATGGAGAAGTTTCAGATGGGGTGTTAGACTGTGGAAGACTGACCCTGAAAAAACACAGAGGAAAAATATCAATTGTAGTACTAAGTTTATTTACTGATAGGCTTCCTCTTTGGGAATTGTTATTATCTTTGGCTGTCCCCTATGAAACAGGATGTTTCCCCTCTACACAAAGAATTCATTATTAGAGATGGATAATATCCATCCTGAGTACAGCTTTTCTATCCTGGCAGAGCAAAAAAGGTTCTCTATAATAGATGCTCCAGTTTAACACAGTATTTTCCAAGGTCTTTCCTTTTTTGAATGGTTTCCAACATCTATCCACATGGGATCATTTAATGAGATAAAATGAGAGATTGGACCTAGTGCTGTGTTGTATGGCCTTGTTCCCATAGATCGTTTAATCAAGACATAAATAGAAACAAACTGATAAGGCACATATCAGCATCAAAGGAAATGTGAACTAGTGGCATTTCCCAAAAAAAACACTGTACTGCTAGCCAAGAGATGGCAGTCCTCTGTCCAGGTCAGATGCATAGACTAATGTTATTTTTCCTGCAAAACAAGGAAAGCATCCCAGTGACCTTTTCCAATTTTGTTTTGATTTGTTTGTCTCTATTTTTCTTTAAGAGCAGTACCCTGTTTTTGTTTTTCAGGGAGAGGGAGCTCTTCCAGGCACTAACTCTATGCAGGACCTTACAGGCTGAAGATTTTTAAAAATGGACAATTAACCAAAGTTGCTTCAAGTAAAAATGTGGTAAAATTGCTGACTTTGCAGCAAAACCAATTATTTCTTTATTTAAAAGACAGAAAAGGATAGCAGCAGAAACCAACAGAACATGCAAGCTGCTTCACAAGTAAAAGTGTGGTGGGGCAAGGACAGCATGAAAGCTAAACCTCTACTCCTGACCATTCTAACTGTGGCTAGAGCTAAGCTTAAGGAGGCTACAGGCTACACATGGATTTTCTCATTCTCTGACACAAAGAGAATGACTAGAGATTGAAGCAGGGAAGTAGGCCTCAGAGAAAGGGGAGAGTAGATCTAGGAGAGAGGAGCAGGTCTAAGAGAGGGGAGCAGGTCAAAGAGAGAGATGCTCTCTCTGTGTCTGTATTTTAACCTCTACCTAACTTGGGGGCAGTCTCCTGAAAGTGAAGAGAACACCTCTGAGTAGGGAAAAACATTACTAAACATGTGCTTGCAAAAGGGCAAGGGTGAAGTGCTCTTAATAATGACTTTTAAATGGTCTGAGCAGTAGAGCTAATGGGTTGCATACACCAGACAAAGCCAATCGCATACAAATATCTACCCTTTTCCAAATTCAAATAGGTTTGCTGGAGCTCTCTGCAAGCTGCACAATATCTCACAATAGGGGGTGTACCAGTCTGAGTCAGTTAGAAGGTCTCCATTCTGTGGAGATAAACAAAACAGTTAAGTCCTGATTGATTTCATCAATGCAGCCATTTCCTTGTCAGCATGAGAGGTAGAGTTTGGAGTTCAATTTCCACTTTGCAGTTAAGAATAAGGCTTGGATTTTTTCAGGATGGAAAACAGGTCCAGGTCACCATCAGCCCTAGTTTGTCTAGTATACTTTTTTAACAATTTGTGCAGATTCTGGCAAGAGACAGATTTTCCTGTCTTACAAATCAAAGTTTAATATTCATTTTTATTGAGCACAATTTGTTAACACATCCTCTGGATCATAGTCTTGCTATCTCA